TCCCCCCTCTCCCTCTCTTGATGTCTCTCTTTTTAGCATTTTTTTTCTTTTAGTTTGCTTTGTATGTTTGTATCAATTGTAATTTGCTCCCTTATAGCTTTTTTTCCCCTTATATTTTGTTTTGTGGATCTGTATCAATTGTTTATCCTATCTTTTCTCTATGTTCCTCTCTCTATCTTGTTGACTTTCTTCTTTTTAGCCTTTTTTTTGTATCTTACTTTATGTGTTGTATCAATTATATATTTGTTCCTTCTCTTTCTTCCTCTTTAACCTTTTTCTTGTACTTTTATTTTGTGTGTTTGTGTCAATTGTATTATTTTTTCTCTCTCTCCCTGGCCTCTCTTTCCCTCACCCTCAACCTCTTCCCCTATTTCTTTGTTATAGTATTTTTCTTTATGTACTTGTATCAGTCGTATATTTTTATCCTTTTTAGTCTTTTTATTCACATTTATGCCGTTTGATAAATGTGCCCTTTTCGATTTGTTTCTCTAAAAAATCTAAGTAGGCAACTTTGTATCTATGTATCTATGGTAGATGAGTGGACATCTTTGGGAAGGTACATTTGTGTATCTATGTATTTGTATATTTATAGCAAATGTGTGGGCAATTATGAAAATATACATATGTGTATCAAAGTATTTGTGTATCTATATATGTGTATCTATTTATATGTGTATACAGGTGATATAAGAGAGAATGAATATAAGCGATACAAGAGTTTTGAATACAAATAATACAAGAGTGAATGAATGCAAATGGCACAAGAGCGAATGAATACAAATGATACAAGAATGAATGATAAGAGATAGAGAGAGATGTGAAAATATAAAATACAACATAAATATAAATATTAATACAATTGTTTGATAACCAAAAAATTAGAAATATAGAGAGAAAAGTGAAGTGAGAGGGGGATGCAACTTAAATGCACGTATAAATGTAATAAATAGTCGCCTAATAACTCAAAATTATGAAAATACACACACACAGAAGTGATAGAGGATATAATCTAAAAACAGACATCTTTACAACATATACAGTCTCATGACACCTAAAAAAAATACAGAAATACAGAAAGAGAGGTAGAAATACAAAATATAAAGTAGGGGTGAGAGAGGGAGAAAAAAAAAAGATACTACCTAAATGCACATATGCATACAGTCGATAAACTCATCTGTTACCTCAAAAAATATAAATATAAAGAGATAACGATGGAAATACAAATTCAAAGAGAGGTAAGAATACAAAAAGGGAAAGAAAGAGAGGGTGTTGGGGGGGGGGGGGGAGGATAGAGAAAGAGAGAGAGAGATGACAGAGAAAAGTGTGAGAGAATACAACCTAAATAAACATATTAAAATAACAAATAAATTCACCTAATACCTCAAAAAATATATAAATGTTAAGAGAAGGATGAAAATACAAATACGGAAGTGAAAACATAAAATACAAGGAGAGATCACGGAGAAAGGGTGAGAAAGAAATAGAGAGAGGAAAAATGTGAGCGAGAGAAAGAGAAGGGGAGAGAGATGAAGAGAAAGAGAGAAAGGGCCGGGAGAGAGGCGAATGAGATTAAGGAGAGAGGCAAAAGAGATTTTTCCGACATAACATCTCAGACTATAGCTATAAATTGTAAATACAACTATAGATATAACTCTCCAATTATGTCCAAATGATAGATATTTATAAAATTTTCTCAAATGAGTTGGATTGAATTAATAAATAAACGGATCAATAGTCAACAGTCAACATAAAATTGAGCAAATTAATCAAATTATGATTTCAGGGGCTAGTTTTATCACCTATAACCGAAACAATGCTAATTATAGGTGATTTTGAAATTCAATACAATATTTTTAACAAATATTTCTTAGCAACATTAGTTAAGAAGTTTTGAAAGTCTTCTTTAAAAATTATTTAAATTATTTATTAGAAAAGGTAAACTTATTTTTTTTTTAAATCACATATTTTGAGTCATATTTGAAATTCTAAAGATAGTATCAAATTTATTTATTAAAATATCTCAACATATTAGAAATGGTTCAAAAATGTCTTCTTCCCACTTATTGGATAAAAATAACCTTAACCTAATAGAAATGATTCAAATTTACCCCTCCTTCTACCCATTTGATCAAATATCGTGAACATATTAGAAATGACTCAAAAATATTTCTTAATTCTAATTATATATGTCACATTTTTTTCTTTTAATATGTTTCTTAAAAAGGAGTGTAAATGCAGTATCACATAATATAAAATTATAGATAAATCTCAATAGTTTTAAAAGAGTAACAGTTTTAAGTAATAGAAAAGATGATATATAGCTAAGATGCTAATAGAAGTGAATTTGATTAAAGAGCTAAAGACTTAACTTATTCAAATTTGAAGGTTAAAAAGAATTTTAAAAAATAATTTGATACTGTAAAAATATTATACTTATAAATTTTAATAAGATATTTTAATACTGCGTGAAGTGGGGCCATATTAATTAGTATTTAATAAATATAATTTTAGGTAGAAGAAGGTCAAATTTGAATAATTTCTAATAGATTAAAGGTATTGTTGACTCGATAGGTTGGGGGGGGGGGGGGATTCGAACCATTTCTAATGGGTAAAGACATTTTTTACCCAGTAGATGGAAGGATGGGCAAAAGTGATCCAATAGATGGAAGAGAGATATTTTAAAATCATTTCTCATACGTACGTTGAGTGCAGTTTCGACCTTTTTCTATTTACTTAATCATTCTTAATGAACATTATTTCTAACTGGTATGTTAATAGGTACGGTAGGAGAACCACGACTCTTCATAAATTCTTAGTTGGTGTTTGATCATGCAATTTCATCTCATGATATGAAATTATGAGATGAAATCAGCGTTTGGACATGCGATCTCACGCTGATTTCATATCATAAGATCAAATCTCAAATTCTTCCAAAATCAAGATTTGGGAATTCCAAATCATGATATGAGATTTTTCAAATACAAAAATTGCCCACAAGTTTATAATTTATAAAAATAACCCACATTTAATTTAAATATATATACTAGTCATTTGTTTCATATGTAAATAAAATTTATAATTCATATCTTTACTTTTTAAACCGTTTATATCTCGTATAACGATTATTCTCTCCAATATAAAGTTATTTTTACTTCAGAACAATTCTTAATTTACCATTTGTATTCACCAAATTCAATAGTTTTGATCAAAATTATTACTACTTCATTCAAATCAATGTTTAATAAAACAACAACAACAACAACAACAACAACAATAATAATAATAACAATAATAATAATAACAACAATAATAATAATAATACCAATAATAATAACAATAATAATAATAATAATAATAATAACAACAATAACAATAACAATAATAATAACAATAATAATAAAAATAATAATAACAATAATAATAATAATAATAACAATAATAATAAGAATAACAACAACAACAACAACAATAATAATAATAATAATAATACTAATATTAATAATATTAATAATAATAATAATAATAATAATAATAATAATAATAATAACAATAATAATAAGAATAACAACAACAACAACAATAATAATAATAATAATACTAATATTAATAATATTAGTAATAATAATAATAATAATAACAATAATAATAAGAATAACAACAACAACAACAATAATAATAATAATAATACTAATATTAATAATATTAGTAATAATAATAATAATAATAATAATAATAATAATAATAGAGAAGGGAAATTGATAATTTATTACAAAAGGGTTTGATAAAACCTTCTAAATCACCTTGGTCTTGTATTGCATTTTATGTCAATAATGCAGCCAAAAAGGAACGTGGTGTTCCTAGATTAGTTATAAATTATAAACCTTTAAACAAGTTTTTAAAATGGATTAGGTATCCTATTCCAAATAAAAAGGATTTACTGTCTAGATTATATGACGCCAATATATTTTCTAAATTTGATTTAAAATCAGAATATTGGCAAATCCAAATATTTAAAGAGCATTCTTATAGAACTACATTTAATGTCCCGTTTAGATAATACGAATGAAATGTTATGCCATTTGGTTTAAAAAACGTTCCTTCTGAATTTTAGAAAATTATGAATGATAATTTTTAACTCATATTTGGACTTCATCATCGTTTATATTGATGATATTTTGATTTATTCAAACACTCTTGAAATGCATATTAAACATTTAGACATTTTCAAGAAAATAGTTATACAAAATTGTTTGGTGATTTCTAAACCAAAAATGAGTTTATTTCAAATTAAAGTTCGATTTTTAGGACATCTTATTTGTTAAGGGAAGGTTACCCCTATTCAGCGATCAATTGATTTATCTGAAACTTTTGCTGATGAGCTAGAACAAGCTTTTGATTTTAAAGAGCATATTGCATTGGAAGTTAATAAACTTCGTGGTTTTCCTAAAAAGAATAGTGGTGATACTAAATTTGCTTATAAGCCTAGTATGCAAACATATTACTATTCTCGATTGACTCCTCAAGATGTATTGATAGAGGAACGCGGCTGGAATCAGACCAATACTTCTTATAGTGGTTCTGAAATTTATGAATGGAATCTTGATGGCCTGACTGATAGACAATTAACTATCCTTATTCATCGTATGTTAATGTATGCTACTAGCTGTAAAAATACCAAAAATACAGATAGAAATATTTGCAAAATGATTATTGCAGGTTTCACTGGCCAACTTCAAGGTTGGTGGGACAATTATATGAGCTTCGAGGCAAAAGCGACTGTAGTAAATGCTATTGCAGATAACGAAGGCGTTGATAACTAAGGCATAGCTTTAGTAAAAAATAGAGAAGATGTTGTCTATACCCTAGTATTGACTATACTAGAGCATTTTAATGGTAGATTCACCAACCAGTACGAAACTGTTCGCAGTTTGTTGAATGGTCTACGATGTAGACATTTGGGAGAATTTCGATGGTATAAGGATACTTATATGAGTCGAGTGATGGAGCTACCAGAAAATGATACAGAACATTGGAAAGCCAAGTTTATAGACGGCTTTCCCTCTTTATTTGGTGAAAGAGTTAAAAAAAACTCTAAGGAATCCGCGAAGAGCTATTCCTTACAACACTTTTACTTATGGTAAGTTGATAGGAGCTTGCACTCAAGAAGGAATAAACCTGTGCAACAAATTAAATCTCTCTAGGCAGCTTAAGATTGATAAGCTTAGAGAAAGATCTCAATTAGGAGATTTCTGCACTCAATTTGGTTTACCAGATTCAGGTAAAGTTAAGCAGACCAAACATAGAGATTCTAGCGATTCCACTCCTAATAAATATTATAGGAGAAAAAGGTCTAGACGAAGATCTAGGGAAGAACGGGAAGAGCGAAAAACTCGTCGTAAATCTGATAGATTTACAAAAAATAGGTCTAGGCGAGAACTCGCTAAGATCAAGTGCTACAAGTGTGATAAATTTGGACATATAACACCCAATTGTAAGCTTGAAAAGATGAAGTCTTTGGAACTGGATGAAGAGGTTCATGATAAGATTTATAGTTTCTTATATACCTCTAGTTCTGAGTCCGATTATGATTCTGATTCCGGCTCAGAAGAAGACATAGATTTGCCTGAGTCTTCTGATAATAAGCAGTCTGTTACTATGAATGCTTGCAGGTGCCACGGTGATATTTGCTCGTGTGAAATGATGAATTTTATAAATTGCAATCTCAATTTGAAGATTTGAACATTCATATTATTACATCTGATAATGTGATTGAACTTCTAAAAGAAGTTACTGATAATGATTTGTGTGATAAAATTATTCAATTTGTTGTTAATAACAGTGCCAGTTCTTCAAAACCTATTGTAAAATCGAAAAAGAATTTTGAATTTGAGTATTCTGCACCATATTCTTTGTCTGAAGTTAATACTAGACTTGCTAGACAACCTGTTGTTATACATGATACTTTTTTTGATGATTTAAAAGGAGAAATTGAAAATTTGAAAAAATGAGATTAAATCTCTTAAACAAAATCAAATGATTTGTGATCATCACATTACTCAGATTGAGGTAGCTAATAGCAAAGGTAAGAATGTTGTTGAAAATAATAATCTTGAGAATAACACTCTTACAAAATCTGTTAAACTTGATCCTAAACAAGATATGTTTTTAGGAATGATACAAATTGTTACTGCTCATAAATGGTATGTTAAATGTACCATACTGATTGATAATACTTTCTCCATAACTGATATTGTTATGATTGACAACGAAGCTGATGTGAGTTGTATTCAGGAAGGTCTTGTACCTACCAAGTATTTTGAAAAAACTTCTCATATGGTCAAATCTACTTTTGGACATGCTTTAGATATAAAGTATAAATTGCCTAATACGCGTATTTGCCAAAATAAAGTTTGTATTCCGCATTTCTTTTTCTTGGTTAAAAATCTGTTATACCCTCCAATTATACTTGGAACTCCGTTTATAAATGCTATTTATCCTTTTACCAATATAACTGCTAAAGGTTTTTCTGCTACTTATAAAGACAGAGATATTAGTTATACTTTTATCACTGATCCGATTTTTCGTGATATTAATACTTTGATTAATATGAAACAAAAGCATATTGATTCATTACAACGTGAAATGTTTAGCAAGAATATATTTGATACTTTAAAATCTATCAAAGTTCAGGAAAAAATTAGATTGATTTCCGAACAAATTGCCGTTGATATTTGTGTTGATCATCCTAGTGCTTTTTGGAATCGAAAAAAATATATTGTCACTCCTCCATATGAAGATAATTTCTCTGAGGATGATATTCCTACGAAGTCTCGTCCCTGTCAGATGAATGCTGAATTAGTTGAACACTGCAAAAGGGAAATTGATAATTTATTACAAAGATAACAGATAGGACGCAATTGCAAAGATTCTTGTAGAAGGGGGAAATATAATTCAAGCTTTCCAAGATGCTTTGCAATTTCGTCCTATCTGTTATCTAAAGTACCTTGAAGAACACACTTTATTTCACAACTCCGGTAGTATCCGGCAAGCTTACAATACAAGAGAGATAGTTCTTTACAAGAGAAGAAGAAGAGAGAGAGAGTGTTTACAAGCCCGCCCCTCAACTAAGTAAAACAAACTTATTTATAGAAAAAGAAAAGCATCTAGGTACAGGGATACTGGACCCCTATTTGGGTCCTATGAACAGTATATCTATTGTTGCTCAACAGTGTTTCTAGTGATGATAGTGCCTTTTTACTGTTCGAGTTAAGTTTTACAACACGTCTTTTCCTTTTAAGCTGATTAGGAAATCTTCCGTTACATCTCCTCCACATGGTTGAGTATCTTCTTGAGCATCCTCACTCGTTTCACTTCTCATAGAAGTGTCGTCTGACTTTGCATAGTGAGTGATATTAAGAAGAATATTTCTCCTAACCTCTTCTAGGTATTCTTTTATCATATCTTCTGCGTTTCCATCTTGAATGGAAATTCTTCTAGCAATATGCTTAAGAGAGTTGTCCGCGACAAGCACCTTGTGAGAATCAGTACCATAATCTTGGATTTTTTTAGTGATAAGGTCTAGCAATTCTTGACCATATAATACCTTTGTCTTGGGATCTTTTTTCATCAATTTGTCCCAAAAATTATTATAATAGATGCAGTATAAACACAGAATCTGTTCTTCGGTATAACCGACTTCTAGGGTCCATTTATGGATCCAAGGGATATAGAATTCTATGAAAAATATATATCTGTTCAATTTGTTCCATATAACAAATATGATTAGTGTGATATAATTTATTTAAATCCGGCAAAATCTTAACCCATTCTTTATATAATTTTAAGAAAGGATCCCGTAGAATCTTTATAGTCAGGCCGTGGTATGACCACCATTTCAAGAACCAATTAGGGATTGGTTCATCAAATATCTTTGAACAAACCTTCACAAACCAAGTATGTTTATGCCTCTCATTATTATAGTAGAGGACTCTACTGAAAGAGTTAATATAATCCCAATAATTATAATTAGTGGGTACCTTGTTTAGACTGATCTGTCTTTCTTTCATTGAGGAAATACACCAATCTTCTATCGAAATAATTTGGTTTATGATCATTTTAGAGAAGTTATAAACATTCTCGCTAGTATTGTATCCTGAAAAGTGCTGAAAACCAACACTACCAGTGCTTATCAAAATGGTCTCATAATATGAGCGGGTTTTATATGATTCACCCTGGAAATATAATCCGTTAATTAGATAACGCTGGAATATCTACCAGGGTTCGTCTTTCCTCTGAATTTCAGAGTTTTCCAAAAGAAATATTATTTCTTTTTTAACTACATTTTCATACGATTTGATATCATGAACATCGTCTTTGGCAATAGAGGCAAAGGTATCACCTTTTTCCTTTTGTGACAAATATGCTTGTAGCTCTGCATATAACGGGCTACCTTCTGGAATATCTTCCAAATGTACAAACAATGATGTCGCCTTTTGCGCTCCTTTTGAGTGCAAGTTTATCAAGCTCATGCCTCCGCACTATAATATCGGGGAGTTTGAAAAGGATCCGTATGAAGACCATGAAGAGGAACCTGGGGAAGATCTGCCCCTTCCTCGAGAGTTATTCCCTCTGTCGCGACCCTTGGTTACCCAAGGAGGGTCCATCCTACAAACAAAGCATTTTGTTTTAATCATTTATAAGATCATCAAAATAATCCTGATAATAATAATTTTGATCATCAAAATCGATGACTTCTTCACAATTATAAATGGTGAAAATATCCATCACCATACTATCAATGATTTTCCATAGGATAATATCTTGTACGTCTTGGTTTAGCGGAACCACCTTTAAGATAGTTACCAATGTTTTATCGGTAAAGAAGGGATTGAGAAAGCTCATTCTTAAGAAGTTGATATTCTCTAGATAACAAATCTGGAAGAGAATTTTCACTCCTTTTTTTATAATGAATTTCGAAATCAAACGGGGCTTACTATGCCTGCCACCTGGCGAATATCAGTTTAGAAGCATCATGCTTAAAATCTTTATCAAACATATATTTGACAGATTGAGCATCAGTTTTTATAAGAAACTTTTGATTATATAAATCATTCTGAAATCAAAACACATTTAACGATGGTTAGCATTTCATGGGCCACCGTAGCATATTTTTTCTGAGCATCGCTCCATTTTCCTGAATGAAATCGAATCAGATATTCAGTTTTATCATGAGGATTAATTTGTTTCAAAATTCCTCCATAACCAGTATTGGACACATTCGTCTCGACTATTTTCTACCAAGCAGTGTTAGCAAGAGTTAAACATGGCAAAGATTGAACACGAAGTTTGATATTCTTTACCAAAGTAGTGAGACTATTAGTCCAAGGTGACTTATTATCCTTTTTTACCCTATCATATTTAGATAAAGTCTAAATATTTCATGGTAGATATAAAAGTGAAGTTAGTTATCTGACATACATATAATTCTTTAGCCGGACATAGTCACGGTAATAATAATAACAATAATAATAACAACAATAATAATAACAATAATAACAGTAATAATAATAATAATTACAATAATAATAATGGACCCCGGAAGTAGGTTTTACTGAAGAAAAAATTCCATGCTTATATCGGATTTATTATAATAATTTCTGGGATAAATTAATGAAGAAGGATCCCATGACTAAATCATTATATGGCCAAGAATTATTTGACTCTATTTCTCAAAGAATCCAAGATTATGGTACTATTCGTCACAATGGAATAATTGATGACAACTCCGTCAAACATATTGCTAGAAGAATTTCCATTCAAGATGGAAATAAAAAAGAAATGATAAAGGAGTATTTGGATGAAATTAGGAGGAATATACTCCTCAATATCACTCACTATGAAAAATCAGACACTTCAATGAGAAGTGAAACAAGTGATGATATCGCAGATGATGCTCAAGAGGCCTAAACTTGTGAATCGGAGAAACCCGTGACAGAAGATATGCTGTCTAAAGCAGAAGGTTTATTTAGGGAGTTGAAAAGGAAAGACAAGATGACCACTATTGATTAACAGTAGATACACTGTTAAACCACAGTTGAAAAACTGTTACTATACATTTGGGACCCATTGATAAGGGACCCATGGTCACTGTAGATCACTGTAGATAGATCCCTTTTTCTTCTATAAATAAGGTCTTTTGTAGTTTGAAGGAGGGGCGTCGAAAAACACTCTCTCTTCAAAAGAATTTTTTTTAAAGTTGTTTGTTTCTCTTAGTTTGTAAAGCTCTCAGTTTGCCGGAGGTTCGCCGAAAGTAAATAAAGTTGTTGATACAAAGTAATTATAATAGATTCGATACGACAAGCAAATAAATTCAGATCTAGGTGCATAGTTATAACCATGCGTTTTAACATTCAAGGTTAAAACATCTAATATATTAGAATCAGTCAAAGATAACTGCAAATTGGGCTGATCATTAAAATAAACTGGACCATAAGCCACCGTAGATTCTATCGAACCCATCAAGGATTGACGAAAATTTAAATTCCTCGCATCTCGTAGAGCAGCTAAGAAAGTCTCTTGTAACCCTTTAAGAGTTAAAGGTTTAAAAGCAATTTGAACCATGCCAATATGCAAAAATTTATACTGAGATTTATATAATTCAATATCACACTTATTTAATAAACGAATAGTTTGTTCTGACGAGTTTAGCGCCAAGGATTGTTCAGTTGTTTTAATCAACT